TGCAGTCGGTTTAGAATGCCAAACGCGTATTAAAAACAGTGGATGATGCCACGGGTCGCCGGTCGCAGCATACATCTAATTAACGTACTTCCCATGTGCCATTTCAGTCTCAGCTTTTATGTTCAATGTTTCTGAACCCGACAACGATTTTTCAATTGAATGTATAAAGATCCTCATTTTTGAAAGGTGTCGATTATGATTTTCACTTAAATTGACAAAACATTTTCACGGAAATGGAATTGTCACGATAAAATCACTAACTAAGGTAGGCAGAAAATACTGAGGAAAAAGAGAATGTGGATATAACATAAAAAACGACAAAAACAAAAACAATCTGGTGGTTTCTTATACATCTTTACATACCAACCATAAGGATGCATTTGTAGCATCTCCTTATCATCCGGTAGCCCCCTCCCCCCTCCCCCAAAAACTCACAATAATGTATAATTAGAATATGAAAAGGGTTAATATAAACCATGTAAAAAGCGATAACAAGAAAAGCAACAAAAAAATCAGTTCTTGAAGAAGACGGCACTGAAATGTTACGACGTGAAAACTAGCCTTTAAATATGGCTTTATTATTTAAGTGCAAATTAACCCTTTGACAATACTCTCAGTACTAGTTCTGCATAAAGTAAATAGTTGATTGGAAAAATATTTCTTGATTTGACTGATGCGTCTCTAAGTTATGAAGGTTTATACTTCCAATATGTTAATGATGGTGACGTCAGGTAAGGTGTTTGAGTGTTTTTGTTGTAACTAGTAATACTAAATGCTGGCCATTTTGAAAATACGAATTGAAAATAGCTTTCATGTAAACCATGAGTAAAATAATGATGCTTTTTAAATACTGTTTCTATGAACCAGTTCAATTTTGTATATTTGCTTAAGCCTTCATAGACGTCACACTTATTAGCATATTGGAAGAATAAACCTTCATAACTTAGAGACGCATCACTTAGATCAAGAAATATTTTACCATTCAACTATTTACTTTATGTAGAATCAGTACTGAAAGTATTGTCGAAGGGTTCATTTGCACTTTAACGCATTCAGTACATTACCGTGTTTTATAACATGATTCGAAAAACCTTGTATAAGACAATGAAAGTAGAAGTCTTTCTCTAGGGATGATTGAACGACGAGATGTCTATAATATTATTTTGTAACTACGTCCCACGCTTGTCTACGATGTATGGGCTTTAACTTTAGATAGTCATAGATATTTTTAATCATTATATTGATACGCGAAGACATTAATTTTCCTCCTTGGCCTTTGTCGGTTTTAAAGCTTTAATGAAAAGCCTTCATCACCCAATATTTACGAGGAAATTTCACCGCGAGGGATAATTGAGTGATTTTGCAATCAGTGTAATAAGTTTCTTACATGTAATTCTTAATTAATATTTTTTCAACCTCACACTTATTAAATGCATTCAATGCAGGTCAGTAAAGTATAGATATTCAGAGTATTGTCCTGCTTCTCAGGTCTTCCTTGCTCCAAACAAAACATGCTAAATTTCATGATCAACTCAATCTGTGACTTTGATCAGCCCACAGGTTTCTTTTGTTTGCTTTATTTCAGAGTGGAGCTCCAATTTTTTCATTTTTCCAATTTTTTTGAGAAGAAATTTTCATTCCCTCCGTGCCCTTACCCCGGCCCTTACCTTTTTCTGTGCTTAGCATGCGACGTCACACCAGCTACGCTGTATGAGGAAAAGCCTTTCTTTGACATCCAACATGACGACCGCATTTCTTACCCTCTCTTTTAGGCATAGAAAAGTTGTTACCCAAACAGTAATTCAAAAAGAAATATGTCATTCTCAATTTAACGATCATCTAATTAAGAAATCCGAGAAACGACCGATTTGCGAAGAATGGCCGACAAACCGTGCGAAAGTAGTCAACGCATTCTTCTCCAAACCAACCACAAACTGAATGAAGAATATCCGAACCAAATTATATACTGGCCGAAGCATTATCGACGAACCTGTGATCAACCGATAAACCAATTTCACTTCCTTACTACAAATTCCGAACAAATTGACGTAAGGACTAAAAAATCGACCTACAGATTGAGCATCCCACTGAACATAGAATGGATCGATCGATATCAACTTACTTCAGTATAGTACAGATCAAATCGACAAAAAATGGCTGACCAAACGCGGTACTCTCCAACTAAACAACAGTTTGACTTCGTATGAAAAACGTCAAGCAGGTTAAGAATATGCAACATTTTTGGAAGTCTTGATACATAAATATTACCGAGTAACAAATAGCTTTTTGTGTGCTATCATTTCCACAATGGCATTGATAACTATTCAAGATATGAATTTATAAATAATACGTAGTATTTCCTTTTAAGATTTCCATCTCTATTTCCATCACTCTTTTGAATTAACCTTTCCTCTATCTTCAAGGCTAAAGCCCCAGTGAAAAATTATGTCATGTCATCTTTAATAAATTTTGACAAATCCATCAGATATCTTCGATTATTTGGAGCTTACACAAAAAAAAATTTTTTAGCCCCTATATTCTAGCCAATTAATAACATAGTTATGATTATTTTCTTCACATGTCTGACGATTGGTTTTTCAGACAGGAAGATCAAGTGTGCTTACAATATTAAATAGCATTCTTGTAAAATTGCTTATGAATTTCCTGCAGAGCCTCCATGAGGTCACTGCGTAAAACGTATTTTTTAAGAGACATGAAAATAGTTCAAAAGTAAAATTATGTTACCTCCTATTGAGGCATTACTTTGGGATTCACTTGACCTAATTATATAGTTTGTTATTCACGAATAGTTATGTAGAATATTCTATTACGGCAGTCATGTATTATTATTATAAAGACTTACTTTTACTCAGTGTAGCTCTCCGCAGTTATCGTGGTAGAGTTCCTAGAATCGCTTCCCAAACACTAGTCCCTGCTATTAAATCATTTCCATTGTCGATTATGAGGATTTGTATTGGTTAGTTCCAGGTTGGAAACGAGAAAAGAGCTTTTTAGAAAAAATTGACACATTCATTTTAAGAGTCTTTATGCGGGGAAGCCTGCTGTTTGCAACAAATATAGGATACTAATCATACAGCACGCCAGCCAATCAAAACTCTCACAGCACAGCACAGATTAAAATCCATTACCTCAAATTTGACCAATCAAATTGCATCTCACAATTGACCGCTTACATTTAGCACTAAACCTCGAATGTTGGTGTTCATTGAAGTTTGCCTTATTCAAAATGAAGCAAAAGTATGCCGTGTTTTTGTTACGGAGCAAGAGGTGGCAGTTCGGCCCCGTTACTATGACAACGTATACTTTATTCATATCCGTCCTTATGAACATTGATAAGATCTTGCTGTCGCTGTCAAGCTGTCTAGTGGGTTTTGGTTAACTAAGCCTATATAAATTTGACTCGATCAAGATCCCAATCGGCGTAATATTCACGTCTTCTAAATAACCCAGACGCTTTTAGCAGTGTGCTTGCATGTCCACTAAGACAGTAGGGTGACCAATGGAGAGGTTTTGAGTAGTTTCAAGCCGATGGAGAATCAATTACGTCTTTAAATCGTTAAGTAATCCGCTGTACGATATCGGTTGCTGATCTGTATGGGTATTTACGATAGCCCAAACAGATTGCACGCGAAGATTGTTTATCGTTTATCAAATGTCTAGGAAATTACGTAGGAAAGAAGTCATAGGGCATAAAACCAAGACCATAGAGAAAGATGACCCTGAGATATGACGTACGAAACAGGTCATAGGTCGTGACACCAAGATCATGCAGAGAGATGACCTTGATATATGACGTAGAAAACATAGGTCATGACACCAAGATCATGCAGA